AAGTTATATGAATTGTTGAATGTGAAACTGATGATGTGCCCTGTAAACTTTCACTCAATCCACAATAAAAACCTTAAATTAAAAAAAATAATAATAAAAATAAATAAATAAATAATACTGAAATTAGTATGAAGATGTATTAGTCTAAGACAATGGTGAAGTCATGTTTGAATGCAGGTTTTATTTAGGTCATCGATAGAAAAATAAAACTAAAAGACCAAGTAATAATGGAAGACTGTGGCTATATGGCTATAAGAATGGCTGAAATAATCCACATTATATCTCAAAAGTCCAGATAACTGTTGGTATGCTACACCAAATTCATGAATGAATTTGTCATTTTTCCAAATACCCTTTTTGTGGTTTTCTTTTTCTAATTGTTATAAAATGGAGCTCCTTTTAGAAATTTAATTATAAAATATTTCTTTAATATACAGAGGCTTATTGTATAATATACATGTAATATTCTATCACCAAGCCTTTTGAGGTTTAATAGGTTCATATTTAAGAACCTATTAAATCCTATAGTGTTAATGTATGAGAATTATTTTATTGAATGATTTCAAGTATATGCTTTCATAGCCTGATGTATTAAAATAATTCAACAACCAATAAGGTCTTAAAAAAAGTAAAGCAGCCTTCTGTTGAGTTGGTTATCCAGGCACAAAGGGTCAAAGAAGGATTGACCTCTGTCACTGAGCTTGTTAAGAAAGGAAAAACACAGGCTCGGATAAGGAAAATGAAGGATGAAGGAATTCCCCCCCCCACACACACACACATTTAGATTATTCTTTCGGGACACCACTGAACTCACAGACATACACAAAGTCTTTCCCCTTCCCTAAATATATATCATATAAGCCTCTCACTTTTTAAGTTATTTCAGTTCTAATAAAGAGAAACAGGATTTTCCAAACCACTGGATGGAAAAAAATCGGGTTTTCAGAAATGTTTCTGTTGGAAATTAGGATGCCTGGCATAGGTGCTGAATTCAGTGAATGAGAGAATGAAGGAAGTTTATGAAGAGATTCTTGCCAACTCTACTCACTTGTGTTCCAGGGATATTAAAGATGAGAAAAGAAAATGAAAATGTACCTGAATTGTGGTCATTATTTAAGAAACCAGAGAATTCTATGTTAGGTTCAAGAAGGTCCATAAATTAAGATCTTCATTTTGAGAGTGTTCTGATGCTAGTTAAATTAATGAAGGCATTTGAAAAGGAGTAGTGGCTATGGTATTTAAGATGAGATTTTCAATTAAAAATGTCAATATTGTGACTAAATATCATGAGTATTAAATATCTATTCCAGTATGGCTCTGTGGGTTAATATAATGCTCTGGACTGTAAAGTTAGCATAAACCTCAAGGTCAGCAGTTTAAGCTCAGCAGCCACTCCTTGGAAACCCTACACAGGGTGTCACTATGGATCAGAACTGACCTGAGAGCACTTAACAACAACAAGAACATGCCCTATTCAGGTTCAGTCTATTCTGACAAACTGTTGTCTCAAAGCATAAAAACACATGACACATGTACAGGTGACAAGACGTTTAAAGTCACTCTCCAAAAATGATCCGGAGAAAAATAACTCATAGAGCATAAAAAAGAAAATCTGATAAAAATAAACAAAGAAAAACCATAAAACAATTGTACAAGCCTGTCAGAAAACATTAATAAAAAGATGTAAAAACAAAGGAAAAGGATTATCTCAAACCTTCTGTATATTAACTGCTTTGAATAATATTCTTCTATTTCTCAGAAGAAAGCCTACTTGGAATCACTGAATCAACTCTCAACTAATGTTACAATAACCAATTTTTGAGGAAAGGTAGATGCTTTCCCTCTAAGATTAGGAAGAAGGCAAGGATGTCTGTTTTCACTACCTCTATAAGGAGCTCTGGTAGTGTAGTGGTTATGAATCGGGCTGTGAGCCGCAAGGTCAGCAGTTCGAAACTACCAGCTGTCCCGTGGGAGAAAGATGAGGCTTTCTGCTCCTGTAAAGATTTACAGCCTCAAAAACCCTGTACAGGGTCACTATGAGTCGGAACCGACTCCACGGCACATAACAACAACAACAATGTGGCACTGAGGGTTAATATGCTGGACTGAAAAGTCGGTTTGAATTGTATGGTCAGCAGTTCAAGTTCACCAGCGGCTCCTTGGAAACCCTATGCAGGTTGGCTAAGGATAATTGCAACTGACTCTACAGCACTTAATAACAACAACAACAATGAACTCTGGATGTAGGTTTTAATCAGCACAATAAAGCAAGATAAGTAAATAAACGAATACATACATAAAAGGCATCCAGATCAGAAGAGGAGAAGGGAAGCTTCCTTTATTTGTAGGCACATGATCATTATGATGACAGGTTTGTGGATGAGAATCACCATAAAGGCAATTCCCAGAAGGCAGCAATCACTCAGATCCCTGCCTTCCTTCTCCCCCATCATTTCTGACTCTAGTTACCTGCATGGCTCTCTCCTTTTTTCTTTCTCTGTCTTCCCACCTGGTGAAGTTACAAGTTAAAAGTATACCATCCTTGGATTCATTAATTCATTGCAACTACTTTAAAACATTTACTGATGAAGATCAAAGAACACAGCCTTCGGTATGGATTATATCTCAATGTAAAGAAAACAAAAATCCTCACCACTGCACCAACAACAAACATTCTTATCAAAGTAGGAAAGATTGAAGTTGTCAAGGATTTCATCCTTGGATCAACTATCAACACTCATGGAAGCACAAGTCAAGAAATCAAATGACGTATTGCATTAGGCAAATCTGCTGCACAAGACCTTTTTAAGGTGTTGAAGAACAAAAATGTCAGTCTGAGGACTAAGGTACATCTGACTCAAGCCATGGTATTTTCAATAACCTCATATGCATGCGAAAGCTGGACAGTGAATAAGGAAGACCACAGAAGAATTGATGCTTTTGAGTTATGGTGTTGGAGGAGAATATTGAAAGTGCCATGGGCTGCCAGAAGAACCAACAGATCTGTTTTGGAAGAAGTGCAGCCAGAGTGCTCCTTGGAGGCCAGGATGTCCAAATTTCATCTCTCATGCTTCGGACATATTGTCAGGAGAGCCCAGTCGCTGGAGAAAGATAATCAAGTTTGGTAAGGTGGAGGGTCAGAGGAAAACCCCCAACGAGATGGACTGGCCAAGTGGCAGCATCGATGGACTCAAGCATGGCAACAGTAGTGAGGCTGGCCCAGGATCAGGTAGTGTTTCGTTCTGCTGTGCGTAAGGTCATTATGAGTCGGTACCGACTCGATGGCACCTGACAACAACAACACCTCACAGAACTCATGGAAGTAAAAACATACAAATGAGAATTAATATAAGGGAAAGATAGATGTCTGGGTAAGTCTGGGAAGGTCCCAATACAGAGCTGTCATGTCTCAGAAAAAGGCAGGCATACTCCTTCTGCCAACCAAGAAGCAATTTGAATCTTACGTTGCAGGTTTTTATTTACTAGTCCTATACGACAGACTAAATCATGCCTCCTGATGTTAGTTGATATTTGACCTCCCATATGAGTCTTTTCTTGCTAACAAAAATCCCAAACAAGGCACCCCACCTACTCCAAGGGCTATTTCTCCAAATTCAAAGACCAAGATGAGAGGTCTTCTAGGTAGTAAAAGGGACAAAGAAAGGCAGGAGAGTGATTTCAAACAGGAACAAAGATACTTTTGTGGATGGTAGACACGTTCATTACCTTGATTGTGGTGAAGGTTTCATGAGTGTCTGTGTGCCAAAATTTATTAAATTTACTAAATCATATAATTAGACCTCAATAAAGGCATTGTGGTTGTTGTTAAGTGCTGTCGAGTCGATTCTGACCCACAGTGACCCTGCATAGGGTTTCCAAGCAGCTGGTGAGCTTGAACCACCGACCTTACAGTTCAAATGACTTTTCAGTCTGATGCATTAGCCCACAGCGCCACACCAGGACTCCAATAAAGGCATTAGAAACTTTTAATGGAGTCCTAGTGTGACGTCATAGGATACGCACTCGACCTCGAGGTTGGTGGTTCAAACTTACCAGCCACTCAAAGGAAACCCTATACTGGGTTGCTATGAGTTGGAACCAACTCGATGGCACTTAACAATAACAACAACAATGGCAAAAGGAGTGATATGAAAGATTAATTTGTGTAGCTCTAAATTGTACTCATCTAACCTAGTTACTGAACTGCTTTGGACAAAGCCAATTCAAGTATGGGTAAGAAAATGGAAACATTTATTTGAAAACCACTTCTTTAAAATAACTTCTTAAGTAGAAATGTGCAAAAGTAAACAAAATTGATAGTCATATTCACAATTTTTTGTTCGTTTTTATATGTCAATAATCCTTTGCAAGCCTTTGGTGGGTTCTGAACAAATAAATTACATGTATGATAAGCATATCAAAAATAAATGAGTAATCATACCTTGATTTGTGCAAAGGGTCTTTCATAACCTCCAACATAGAGAAGGCCAACATTCTGAGGCAGCAACCTACCAAAAAAAGATAAATTATAAGTTATTCTTCCTCAAATGTAAAGTTGTAAAAGCATCAAATTTTCATCCAGGATAAAACCCCAGCTGTTGTTAAGTTGATCCAGACACATAGTGACCCCATGTGGACCATTATGATCCACAGAGTTTTCATTGGCTGAATTTTCATGAGGTCTTTTTACAAGGTGCCTCTTAGTTGACCTGAAGCTTTAATCTTTCTATGTAACCAATTGGAACACCCATGAACTCCACCACTTAGGGATTCTGTATAAAGAATAGATATTGTGAAAAAATAAATTATTATACAACTATTCTTATCTTTTGCATTATAAGAAAGTAACAAAGAAATATGTCATATTTCAGAAAACAGTGGATTAAAGAAAGTACCTGACAAGAATGAAACTTAAAATCTGAAACACGTTATATTTGAGAAGGCTTCAAAAAGTTTGTGGAAACTTTCATTCCATTATCTGGTATTTTTTTTTAAGCATGAAAAAAACCAACACTTTATTTTTACCAATTGAAAAGTAGGAATCAATCTTCAGGAAATATTACCAATTACATAATTAACATTAGGATAGCATGTACAGATTAGGCTACATTGAATTAATATGCACATATATTAAAAATCAAAAGGGCCTGAAACTTTGACACAGAGGAAAAGCACTCTGACTCATTGTAAACACAAGACTTCTGGAAATGTGATCTGACATTTCACAGGACAGTAAGCCAAAGACAAGTCATCATTGGGTTAGAGAACTGATCTGAGCTGAAGAGGAATCATAGTAAAATGCCACTGGAACTCAACGGTTCCCTGGAGACCTGCTCATTTCAAAAACAAGAACATATAAAAATCAGTAGTATAAATTCTCATCAAACTAGAAAAGCCCCCTATGCCCTACATTCTTAGAGTTTACCTACAGACTGAGTCTGACTTTTCATTTTTCTTATCTTTATTCTTCTCTAAATTAGATACAAAATAAGTTTATCTTGTACATTTCTGACTCTATACTCAAAGCTTTAAGATGAAAAAAAGAAAGCTTTTAGGAAACAGAGCTAGACACACACATACCAACCCCAGGGAGAATTTTCAAGAGACGATTCTCCCAAAGGAAACATTCCATTATCTTTTAATTCCATTTTTCCATGAACTTTTTGAAGTCCTCTTGTATTAGTAAAACATGTGGTGGTTCAAAAAGTTCAGGGAAAAATGGAATTAAAAGATAATGGAACTTTTCCATGAATTCTTTGTTGTTGCGACACTGTATAGGGTCTCAGAGGTTGCAAATCTTTGCAGAAGCACAAGGCCTTACCGTTCTCCCTCAAAGCAGCTGGTGGACTTGAATTGCCAACCGTGTGGTTCACAATCCAGTGCTGATCTTATAGAGGCCAGGATGGCCAACCTTTGTGTCTCATACTTCAGACATATTGTCAGGATGGACCAGTCGCTGGAGAAGGTTATTATGTTTGGGAGGGTGGAGGGTCAGAGAAAAAGAGGAAGACCCCCAACGAGATGGATTGGCAAAGTGGTAGCATCAATGGGCTCAAGTGTGGCAACAATAGTGAGGTTTGCCCAGGTTTGGGGAGTGTTTTGTTCTGCTGTGCATAAGGTCGCTATGAGTCGGTACCAACTCGATGGCACCTAACAACAACAACAACAAAATAACAGCAGGCCTTGGTGTGGTGCTGAACTATTAACCTCAGTTAAAACCCAGCAGCCACTCTCTGAAACCCTATGCAGGGTTGCTATGGGTCAGAATCGACTCAACACACACAACAACTAAAACCATATCTCGCCAGAGGAGCACTCAAAGAAATATTGCAAGTCTATTCACTGCTTTGGAAATCCGATACAGAGTCACTTTGAGTTGAAATCGACTCTACAGCATCTAACAACTATTCACTAAAGGAGACAAATCTAAATAATTCATTCCCCAAATCTAATAGGAGAATGTGATCCATAAAGAATTACGCCTAACAAAGAAGCCACTGATAAGCACAATATAGGTATCTGCCATGGGAAAGTAGTAGAGTAAGGGGTTGCTGCTATGGAAGGATCTGGAAAAGTTTGACTAATTAGTATTTGAGCTTTGCCTTAAAGGATAAGGCAAAAAGAAAAAAATGAAACAAAGGTCTGAAAATGAAGAGGATTTCAGACAAAGGGTAAGTAAGTATGACTAAAGTAAAAGATATATAGTGAGGGATGAAAACACAAAGGAATGAAGAAAAACAAGGAAGCTGCATGCCACGGCATAACATGGATGAACCTTGAGGACATCGTTGTTGTTAGGTGCTATGAGTCAGTACCGACCCATAGCGACCTCATGCAATACTGAGTGAAATTCTTGTTGTTGTTAAGTGCCGTCAAGTTGACTCTGACCCATAGCGACCCTGTACAGGGTTTCCAAGGAGCAGCTGATGAGCTTGAACCACCAACCTTGCAGTTCAAATGACTTCGCATTCTGATGCATTAGCCAACAGCGCCACACAAGACAGCATAAGAACATTATTGTAAAAGCTTAAGAAAAAATACCCATACAAAAAGAGAATTAAAAAAAAAAAAAAATGCTTTGTTGGTTACCAGTGGTTTGGGGTAGGGGGTTTGGGGGAGATGGAGGGAGGTGATGGTAGAGCACAGGGTAGAGGGACAGACACATCATAGTTCAGTTGTCGGGGAGGACAATACACAAGAAGGGGGAGGTGGGCTGGAAGAACAAGGCAGATAGAATACTGAGACACGTTTGCATGGGCTAAATGGGACAGAGGTAAACAGTGATGCATGCTCAACCATGGAACAACAGGGCTATTTGATACAGGGATCGAGGCATAGCTTGAAAGGGGAAATAATACTAAAATTCTTGACTGTCTTATGAATATTGGTTTCCCTTGCCTACTATTGTAAACAGACATTTGAGTGGGATAGAAAGGAATGTTGGGGAACATGATTACAGAAAGCTTTTAAGCCAATCTTCAGCCTATAACTGAAAGGGGTTCTAGAACTTGCCCAATGAAATAGGCCTGACTTGCAGTTATACCATGGCTTGCAGCTTGAGGAGCTTGCAGCTAGCAGAGCCTTTGCAGTATGTAGAACCTTAGGTGGAACCCTAAGCCCCATCCACAACATTATGAGGTGGGGTATTCCCACTACAAAGACAAGCAGACCAGCCTGGAACAGGCTAGTCTAGAATGACAGAAGATATATCTTCAAAGAAAGATCATCAGCAAAAACTTGAAAATGGCAGTATGACTGGCTACTAGAAGAATAAGCGAGCTGTTCATCGGGAAACCATCAAGGCTAGCAATCAAGTCCCTTCAGGATAAAACTCTTCTAAGACTGAAACTCAAAGGGAACACATGAACAGACACGTAAGCTTACTGACTACCACGCTGTTCTACTGGTAAGCGGAGGAGGGGGAAAAGCAGCAATGAAGAAGTGGGCTGAGTTCAACCACACTCCATAGATTCCCATTGACTTGGAGATGAGAGAAAAGGAAGGCTGGTTGGTCTAAAGTGTGGTGAGACCTGGGGACTCTTGAGCCCATGGACAAGAACATAGCCACAGAGGGCTAGAGCCGAGAGTGAAGCATCCAGCTGATATGAAGTCAAGGTTGATGAAGTGGTGGGAGATGCACAACAACACTCAAACTTGCAAACAGTACTCATCTGACCTAGCTTCAGTGGCTTGATAATCAGAACTCGACTAGAGGAAGATTTAAAGAAAAAAAAA